GGTTTGTCTATTCCAATCTTACGTTCCATTCTTACAGCTCCTGATTCCAGGTTCTGGTGACTTCTCCCTCCCAGATACCATTAGCCTAATAAGGGAAATGGCTCCTGGCTCTTGCTGGTCCCAAGTGTTTTGTTACTTCCTTGTTACTTCCCCTCACCCAGCCCATGTGTTTAAAACGAGTTCCCTCGGTGAGTGTGATAGTTAATTTTATGTATCAACTTGATTGGGCCATGAAGTGCCCAGATAGTTATCCAAACGTGATTCTGGTGTTTCTGGATGAAATTAACATTTAAATCAGTAAACTAGTAAAGCAGATTGCCCTCCCTAATGTCATGGGCCTCATCCAATCAATTGAAGATCTGAATAGAACAAAAATGCTAAAGAAGAGGGAACTTCCGCCCAACTGTCTTGAACTGGGACGTGAGACATCTGCTGTTAGATTGGAACTTATACTATCAGTTCTCTTGGGTCCCCCGTTTGCCAACTGCAGATCTTGGGGCATCCAGCTTCCATAACTGTGTGAGCCAATATCTAACCCACCCCTTTATATATAATGCACTGATTGGTTCCATTTCTTGGACTACTACAGTGTTCATCAAACGTTTACTGCCTCTTGCACAACTTCACTATCTCACAGGTACCTGCTAACTGTGACACTCATTGATTTAATACACAGGCAATGGAAAGAGAGCAGGGTAATGGATAAGAAGTAAAGGAAAGCAACTTGCTGCTCTGGGGATGGCCAAAGTACCCGTGTCTTTCATCTTCTAACTCTCTCTGCCTCTCTCCTTCTTTCTCTTTCTATCTCTCTCCCCCTCACCCTCCATCACCCCCAGGCCGTTACTGGGAAGTTAGGTTCAGGGAGAAGGGAGAGAGAGAATACTCATCTCCTGTACTGCTCCCATACATCTTCATGAACCCTTTACCTCTTATTTTCATTTTATTAAAACATAATTGGCATACAATAAACTGAACATATTTAAAGTGTACCATTTGATGAGTTTTGACATATGTATATGCAAGATAATGAACATATCCATCACCCCTTAAAATTTCTTTGTGCCCCTTTGAAATCCCTCTTGCATCCCACCCCCAATCCCAAGGCAACTACTGATCTGCTTTCTGTCACTATAGATTCATTTGCATTTCCTACAATTATATAAAAGGAAGCATACAGTCTGCACTCTTTCTGCCTGCCTTCTTTCACTCAGCATAATTATTTTGAGATCCATCTGTGTTGTAGTATATATCAATAGTTCATTCCTTTTCATTTTTGATAGTATCTCATTTTGTGAATATATCACAGTTTGTTTATCCATTCACCAATTGATGGACATTTGGGATATTTCCAATTTGGGACTATTACAAATAATGCTGCTGTGAACATTTGTGTAGAAGTCTTGCTATGGGTATGCACTTTCACTTCTCTTGAGTAAAATCCTAAGAGAGAAATGACTGGATCGTGTACTAGGTGGTTGTTTCAAGTTTTGAGAAACTGCCATACTGCTTTCCAAGTTAGTTGTACCATTTTATATTTCCCAAGAATGTATGAGAATTCCAACTGATTCATACCCTTGGCAACATTTACTGTGTTCAGACTTCTGGATTTTAGCCATTGCAAGAGATGTACAGTATCTCACTGTGGTTTTAATTTGCCATCCCCTGATGTATAATGATGTTGAATATCTTTTCATATGCTTCTTTTTTATCTGTATATCTTCTTTGGTGAAGTCAAACCTTTTACTCATTTTAAATTGAGTTATTTATGTTCTTATTTTTGAGTTTTGAGAGGTACTTATATATTATAGATACAAATCCTTCATTAAATAGATGATGTGGATATAGTTTCTCTGGGTCTGTAGCCTCTCCTTTCATTCTCTTAGCAGGGTCTTTGAAGAGCAGGAGTTTAAAATGCTGATGAAATTCAATTTACCAACTTGCTCTTTTATACAGTTGTAGCTAATAATTCTTTGCCTAACCCAAGATTATGAAGATGTTCTCTTATGGTTGCCTCTAGAAGTTTTAAGGTTTTGGATTTTACCTTTAATCTATGTACCCTTCTCAGTTGATTTTTGTAGATTGTCTCTGGAATAGATTAACAATTTGTGATTTTGCATGTGGATATCCACATGCTCTAAAACATTCAGCTGAACAGATGAAACTTTTTCCTCTGAATTGTCTTAAAATTTATCAAAAATCAACGTGTGTGTGTGTGTGTGTGTATGTAACATATTTAAGTCTATTTCTAAATTTGCTACATAGCCCTATTTATTTAGTCTTTCTACCTATGTCTCACAATTTTGATCAGTACAATTTTATAATAACTTTTAAAAGCAGGCAGTGCTAACCCTCTAACTTTGATGTTGTTTATCAATGTTTTATTGTCTATTTAAGGGGTTTTTTGGAATTTTCATAAAAAATTTTAGAATAAGTTTGTCAATTTCTACTAAAAAGCATATTGAGTTGTTAGTTACTAGTGCACTGAATCTACTGATGAGTTTGGAAAGAACTGGCATTTTAACAATATTGAATCTCCTAACTTGTGAAGAGGGTATACATGTCTGTTTATTGAAGTATCTAAAATTTTCCCTCAGCAATATTTCCCTTTTTGTTGTATTTGTCTTTTAAAATGTTGGAATATTTTGCTTTAAATATTTTACTTTTGATGCTATTTTAAGTATAGTTTTTAAAATCTCTGCTTTTGATTTTTCATTGTTAGTACACAAAATCAATTGATTTTTGCATATTTATTTCAGATATTTTAACCTTGATAAGCCCATTTATTAGTCCAGTAGTTTTTAGAAATTCTATTGGGTTTTTATATGAACAATCATGTCTGTGAATAAAGACAATTTTTCTCCTTCCTTTCCAATGTTGATTTCTTTTATTTTATTTTTACTCCTAATACTGCCTATGATTTTTAGTGTGATATTAAACAAGAGGAAATCCTTGTTATTCTTAATTTTGGTGCTGTATGTAGGGGGAAGCATGACTCTTTTTTAGAGATGCCTTTTATCAGGTTCAGGAAGTTCTATTCTTATTTTGGTGTGATTTTTTGTCTTGAATGGATTTTGAATTTTATCAAATGCTTTATGACATCTCTTGATAGCATGTGGGTTTTCTTTTTAATATCTGTTCCTACAGTGAATTAGATTGACAAAATTTGAGTGTTAAACCAACCTTGCATTCTTGGATTCAATCATACTAAGTCATAATTATTATTTTTTTCACATTTTTTTTCATATTATAAGATTCAACCTCCTAAAATTTTGTTTAGAATACTTTCATCTATGATATTGATGCATAGCTTTCTTTTTTGTACTATCTTTTCTGATTCCAATGTATGGGTAACACTGGCCTAATAGAGTGGATTGGAAAGTATTTCCTTCTTTTTAGTTATCTAGAATAGGAATTAAAATTTAGTACTGTTTTTCTTTAAATATTTGGTGGAGGTCACTAATGAACCAAACTGGTCTTTATATTTAGTGACTGTGTTACTGGCTTATGTATTTATTATACTTTTCCTCATTACTTTAGAGTATACTATTTACATAAAAATATTTTACTGCCAAACAATAGTCTGTGTTATGCCAGCAGCAGTGTCTAACATCTCTGTCTTTACAGCATCTTGATTGGATGAAGCAGGCACATGAGTGATTGACCTATATTTATTACAAGATTTTTAACTTTAAATTTAATTTCTTTAATAGATATAAATTGTTTTAGGTTATCAGTATCTTCTTTAGTGAGAGAGTTGGTAATTTCTATTTTTCAGTTCAGTTTTCTCCAGTTGCAGCATTTATTGGTATTCAGTTGTTTAGGATATGCCCATATTATTGTTCAATGTGGGATCTGTACAGTTGCAGTGTTTCTCATTATTTATGTTGGTAATTTGTGTTTCCTTTTCATTTTTACTGATCAGCTTGATTAAAGATTTACTGATTTTATTGATATTCTCAAAAAAGCAAATTTGGTTTCATTGATATTCTTTATTTTTTCTGTTTTTCATTTTATTGACTTCTGTTCTGATATTTATGAGTAAGTTTTATTCTACTGTTTAATTTGCTCTTTGTTTCTAAGTTTCTTAAGGTGGAGGTTGAGTTATCTGATTTGATGATTTTCTCATTCCTTATTTTCTAACACAGGCATTTAGTGCTATGAAACCCTCTTTCCTCCATCAAGTACTGCTTTAGTGGCTTCCCACAATTTTGATTAGGCTGTGTCTTATTTTTTTTATTGAGCTAAAAATACTTCCTAATTTCCATTTTGAGTTCTTCATGATCCATGAGTTATTTAGAAGTATGCTATTTATTTTCCAAGTATTTGGAGATTTTCCAGAGATACTTCTGTTATTAATTTCCAATTTTATCAAGTTAAATTGAGAAAACAGTTAGTCTTGCTGAACTTTTATATTTACTAAGACTTGTTTGTCATAGAAAATATGTTCCATCTTATGAGACTTTCTTTGTGCACTTGAAACAATTTGCATTATGCTATTGTTGGATGGAGAGTTCTATAGTATCAATAGGGTCAATTTGTTTGATACTGCTGTTCAAGTCTTCTATATTATTTTTTGCCTACTTGTCATAACAATTACTAAGTCATGCACTGCATAATTTAGTAACAACAAGAAAACAATATTTTGGTCAATGATGGACCATGTTTTGATGGTGGTCGCATAAGATTGGAATGAAGCTGAAAAATACTCAGTGATATTTTAGCAGCATAAAGTTATAGTGCAATGCATTAAACGTGTTTGTATTGATTCTGGTGCAGGTAAACCTCCTGTGCTGCCAGGTGCATAAAGGTATAACACATATATCCTTTATGATACTTAGTAATGAGAATAAGTGACTATGTTACTGGCTTATGTATTTACTACACTATACTTTTCCTCATTACTTTAGAGTGTACTACTTCTGTTTACATAAAAATAATTTACTGTAAAACAGTATTCTGTATTATGCGGGCAGCAGTGTCAAACATCTCTGTCTTTACAGCATCTTGATTGGATGAAGCAGCCACATGAGTGATTGACCTATATCATCTAGGTTTGTGTAAGTACTCGCTATGATATTCCTACAAGGTCAAAATTGCCTAATGAGGCATTTTTTAGGACATTTTATGTACTTGTCATTAAGAATCACATGAATATATTTTAATCTTTTACTGTAATTATGGATTTGTCCACTACTTCTTGTAGTTTTATCCGGTTTTGCTTTATGTCATTTGAGTTTCTTATTAGATACATAAATATTTAAAGATGCATGTCCTCTTAACAAATTAATATCCGTCTCATTATGAAATAACAGAAAAATCCCTAGTTTTATATATATATATATATTTTTTTGTTGTTTGTTTGTTTGTTTGTTTTTTTGCACTGAAGTTTACTTTGTCTGATATAACACAACCACTCTGGCTTTTTTTCTTTCTTTTTAACAGTTTTATTGAGACATGTTACCCAGTGTAAATTCACCCATTTTAAGTATACAGTTCAATGGCTTTTAGTATATTTAGAATTGTGCAGCTATCATATAATCTAGTGTTAAAACATTTTTATTATCCTTAAAGAAAATCTAACATTCATTAGCAGCCACCCCCAATTCCTTTTTCCTCCCACCTTCAACCTTAAGCAATCATTTTTATGTTTTATAGATATGCCTATTCTGGGCATTTCATATAAATGGAGTCATACAATATATGGTCATTATATTTGTTGTCTTAGAAATGAATATTTATTTATTTATTTTTGGTACTAAGGATTGAACCCAGGGATGCTTACCCACTGATCCACATCCCTAGGCCTTTTTAAATATTTTATTTAGATACAATAAAGGTCTCACTGAGTCACTTAGGGCCTCCCTCAGTTGCTGAGGCTGGCTTGGAACTTGCAATCCTTCTGCCTCAGCCTCCCAAGCTGCTGGGATTACAGGCATGTGCCACTGCACCCAGCTTAGAAACAATGTTATTTATTTATTTTTATTTTTTAGTTGTAGTTGGACACAATACTTTATTTATTTATTTTTATGTGGTGCTGAGGATTGAACCCAGGACCTTGCACATGCTAGGTGAGTGCTCTACTGTTGAGCCACAACCCCAGCCCCTAGAAACAATGTTTAATGAAATTTTTATTTTGACATAATTGCAGTTATCTTCAAATTCATATACACTTTCAAGAAATAGTTCAGAGAGGTCACATGTATTTTTCAATCAGTTTCTCCCAATTTGAATACACTATCACAGCTTGTACGTCACACAATCAAGACGCAAAACAGTTTCATTGCCACAGGATTCCTCATGTTGGTTTTTTTTTTTTTTTACAGCCACACCCACTCCTCTTTAGGCTTTGACAACCACTAATCTATTCTTCATTTCTACAATTTTGTCATTTCAAGAGTGCCACATGAATGGCATCATGCTGGGTCTAACTTTTGGGACTGGCTGTTTTTCACCCACCATGATTCCCTGAAGGAATGGGTTTGTTCTTTTTTGTTGCTGAGTAGTGTTCCATGGTATGGATCTACCATGGTTATTTAACCATTCATTTGCTGGAAGACATCTTATTTTTCTGGCCTATAACTATTATGAATATGGCTGCTATTCATATACAGATTTTTGTGTGAGTAACAGTCCTCCTTTCTCTGAGATAAATACTCAAGAGTCCAATTGCTGAGTTGTACGGTAGTCATAAGGTAGCTTAAAAAAACACAACAAAACTGCTAAACAGGTTTCTAGAGTGTCTTGCCTTTGAACACATCCATCAGTAATGTGTAAGTCATCCAGTTTCTCTACATTCTCATCTGCATTTGATATTGTCGCTATCTTTTCAATTTTAGCCATTTTTGACAGTTTTAGCCATTTCAATGAGTATGTAGTGATATTTCACTGTCGTTTTAATTTGCATTTCCTTAAAGGGTAATGATGTTGAACATTTTTTCATGTGCTTGTTTTCCATCTGTATATCCTCAATGGGGAAATGCCTCTCCATGTCTTTTGCCTATTTTCTAATTGGATTTTTTTTAACCGTTAAGTTTTGAAGGTTCTTCATATATTCTAGATAGGGTCCTTTGTTACACATGTACTTTGTAGACATACTTATTCTGTAGTTTTTCTTCTCAATCATTTTATGAAGTCTTCTGAAGAGCAAAAGATTTTTTAAATTAAATTCAGTTTATCAAATTTTCATTTTTCAACCTTCTTTTAGTATCAAGTTTAAGAACTCTTTGCCTAGCCTTAGTTATTCTTCCCCCTTTCCCCTAAATATTTTGTAGTTTTACATTTCACATTTAATTCTGTGATCCACTTCAATTACTTTCTGTATAAGGTGTAAGATTTAGGTCAAGGCTCTTTTTGTTTGCCTATGGATGTCCAATGTCTCCAATACCATTTGTTGAAAAGGCTATTTTTCCTCCATTCAATTGCTTTTGCACCTTTGTCATAAATCAATTCAGCATATTTGTGTGGATCTATTTCTGGATTCTCTTTTCTGTTCCATTTATCTTTGTGTCTATCTCTCTGCCAATATCACATAGACTTGATTATTATAGCTCTATTAGTGTAGAAATCAAGTAGGCTGATTCTTTCCTCTTCTTCTTTTTTTAAAATTAAAGCTATTCTAGTTCATTTATCTTTCAATATAAATTTCAGAATAGTCTTTTCTGTACCTATATAAATGTTACTAGGATTTTGGTAGAAATTCTGTTAAATCAATGTATAAATTTAGGGAGAATTGATATTTTTATTCATTTCTGTTGAGCCTTCTAATCCATGAACACTGATGTCTTACCATTTGCTTAGATCTGGTTGATTGAGTTCATCAACAAGAGTAGTTTTTAACATGTAAGTACTGTATATGTTTTGTTTGATTTACAACTAAGTATTTCTTTTTATAAGTGATTTTAAATGGTATTGTATTTTTAATTTTGATTCCATGTGTTTATTTCTAGCACATAGAAATATAATTGACTTGTATATCTTATACACTACAATCTTACTAAGCTTATTAATTCTAAGAGTTTTTTGTAGAATCCTTGGGATTTCTACATAGTTGGTCATGTCATTGATAGGGAATTTTCTTTCTTTCTTTTCCAAATGCATATGTAGTTTAATTCCTTTTCTTGCCTTATTACACTGGCTAAGAGCTTCCAGTCACATGTTGATTGAGAGTGTTGGGAGTGGAGAGCCTTTCTTTATATTCAATTCTGGGGGAAAGCATTTACTTGCCTACAATTTAGTATAATGCTACTGGTTAATTATAGGATTTTTTTTGCACTCTTTTATTTAAAGAAGGAAGTTTTCCACCTTACAATTTCTCTGAGATTTTTAAAAATTATAAATGAACATGAAATTTTGTCAAGTGTTTTTTTCTGTTTTGATTGCTGTGATCACATGATTTTACTTCTTTAGACTTCAGCCTGGTAGACAATCTATGGAAAGCAGAAGTCATGATACTAAAGGTAAAGTACAATTCAGAGCAAGGAAAATGATCAGAGATAGAAAAAGTCATGATATAATAATAGTAGAGTTAGTCTATTAGGAAGACACTTAGCAATCCTTAAAGGATATGACTCAAACAACAAGGATAGCTACTGAGGTCATGGCGGCCAGGAAGCAGAGAGAGAAGGGGAAGGGACCAGGGACTAAGTGTACCCTCCCATGACATGCCCCCAGTGACCTTCTTGTTCTAACTAGGCCCCACCACCTAGTGTCTACATCTCATTATAATGTCATCAAATTATTAATCCATCAATGGATGAGCCCATTGATGAAGTCAGAGCCCTTATGATCCAATACTTCCAGAGAGTTCCTCCTGTGAACAATGCTGCCTTGAAATCAAGACTTTGACACATGAGGTTTTAGGGGAAATTCCAGATCCAAACCTTAAGAGTTTTATATGTCTCTAAGATTCCATTCATTTTTAAAAATCTATATTCTTGATTCTTGAAATGATTCCATTTTATTTTATTAACTGAAAAATTATTTTATTTTATTGGCTATTTTGGGGCTTATAATACCTTCATCTCATCATAGTTTACTATCAAGAAATATTATACCATTTAAAATATGGTATAAGAATGTAACAGTAGTATCCCTTCCATTTTTGTGTTATTAACATCACAAATTTTTACCTATGTTATCAATTTTGTACTCTATTGCCATTGTTTTTGTTAAATGAATTATTTTATACAGATATTTAAGCAAAAGGGAAGCATATTTACCACCCCGTTATCATTTCTGGAGTCTTTTCATTCTTTTGTGCAGACCCATATTTTCCTCTGGTGTCTGGAAGATATTCCTTCCCTAGATTGGATGAGCTTCAATATTTCTTATACTGTGGGTCTACTAATAATGGATTTATTTCAGCTTTTAAAAATATATAAAAAATTTCTGTGTTGCTTTGTTTTTGAAAGATGCTTCTCTTGGGTGCAGAAATCTGGAGTTAACCTTGTTTTTCCTTTAGTACTTTAGTGGTATTCCTCCCTGGTGTTCTCTTTGGCCTTGTGAGAGTGGGTGTCTCACCCTTTTCTTTGTCCCTTTGTACATAGCATTTCTTGTCCTTCTGTTAGGATTTATCACTGATTTTGAGCAGTTTGGTTTTGATGAACCTTGCTGTAGTTCTCTTCGTGTTTTTTGTGTTTGGGGTTCTTGTAAATTCTTGGATATGTCAATTTATAATTTTTATCAAATTTGAAAAATTATTGGCCATTATTCAAATATGTTTTTCTGCCTCTCTTCCCTTGGAGACTCAATTACATACACACATACACACACACACACACATACATGTATGTGTGTGTGAGTGTGTAATATGTCTATGTTGAAGTTGTTCTACAGCTTGCTGATGCTCTATTCATTAAAAATTCTATTTTCTGTTTCATTTTTTTCTTTTGCTGTTTTAAAGTTTACTAATATCTTCTTCTGCAATGCTTAATCTGCTATTATTTCTACCTTGTGTATTTGCCATTTTACTTATTGGAATTTTCATTTCTATAAATTCAACTTGGTCCAGGCACATTGGCGCATGCCTGTAATCCCAGCAGCTCAGGAGGCTGAAGCAGGAAGAATGCAAGTTTGAAGCAAGCCTCAGCAATTTAGTGAGGCCCTAAGCAACTTAGCAAAACCCTGTCTTAAAATAGAAAATAAAAAGGGCTTGGGATGTGGCTCAGTGGTTAAGTGCCCCTGGGTTTAATTGCTGGTACACATACATATACACACATACATATTCAGTTGGATGTTTTTTTTTTTTGGTGTCTACATTTTTGTTTTCAGCATAGAAAAAACTGTCATGGTAACTGGGTTAATATCATGGAGTGCTAATTCTAACATCTATGCCAGTTTTGAGTTGATTTTAATTGATCAATTTTGTTCTTCATTATGGTTCTATTTTTTTGGATGCCAGATTATGAGTTTTCCTGTTGGATGTGGGACAGTTTTGCATGCATTCCTTGTGATTTCACCATGGCTGGGATGTCAGGAATCATGGAGCTGGACATTGGCACATCTTGTCAGGTTATATAGCAGGTGAGTTGCTTTGGGCTTGGCCTCCAGGATGCCCAGAGGATCCTCCCCAGTGTTGCATAGCAGTTTTCTCCTTGCCAGAACCCTGTCCTCTGTCACACTCTCTCTTCAAGATCACATTTCCTAGGGCACACTGGCTTGTTTGCAGAAGAAAAGTAAAGAATCCTAAACAGTACTTTGTTCACCTGCGTTGATGACAGGGACAAGAACCACTCCTTCTACCATATGATTTGTACTTTCTTCTTTCATAATTCTTTCGATCATTTATGGTGTTTTTGCATTGAAAATTCCATAAAAAAAAAGGCTGGCAAAATCTGTAAGTTCTTGCAGTTTATGTTCCAGTGGGGGAGGTTGTGGTAGTCTGCCTAGTGGCTTTCAAAGATGTCCTTGTCCTAATTCATAGAACCAGATGCCCTTATGGATTTTGCTATAAGAGACATCATCCTGGGCTGTTCAGGAAGACCTAATGTAATCACCAGTGTTTCCTTAAAAGATTGTCAGAATTACAGGAGATGTGACTATAAAAGCAGGGGAGAGAGAGAGAGAGAGAGAGAGAGAGAGAGAGAGAGAGAGAGAGAGAGAGAG